CTATGAGGTGGATTGATTCAGTGATTGGGGTAATCGGGATGGGTGTGTCAGAGACGGTGCGATTGGCACAAGACAGAGCAGAGTTTAGGGCTGTTGTACATAGGGTCGCTATGAGTTGCAAGCAGCTCGAAGGCACATTACAGCAACAACAACATGCTCACTAATACCTTTTGTGTCTGTATCTATGTGTGTATGATGTTAAAAGGATAGCCCTACAGTACTCTTCATCTCCTTAAATAAAATTATTAGTCAACCTTGGGAACAGTAATCTTGTTTAACTGTGTCTCTTATTAATTGCAATAATAACTTAAAGGTAGTACCTCTCTGGTAGTTCAAATACTCCAGTGGTTCTGAGAGAGAAAAAAATGAACAATCACCTCTCATGTGATTTACAGCCTCTGAAAGCCCACTGGAGGGTCAACTCTGAATTGTTACAGTTGTAAATTTATAAATTCTACTTTTCTTAAAACCTAAATGACAAAATTTGCCTTATTCCATAATCCCAAACAGTCATTTTTTTACCATACCTTTTTGGCTGTTGTTGTGTACTGTGGAGTTGGAACCATCCATAGCTGACCCACCAGTGAGTTTTCACAAGCAGTTCATCATACGAGAGGGGAATGTTCATTCTTTCCTGATGAGCAACTGGCAGGTTTGAACTGCATGCCTTTGGAATTGCAGCACAGCTTCTTAACACTAAGCCACCTTGTCTATAATTTACAGATTTGGAGTTGAGCATGCTTTTATAAAGGAAACCTGATAGTATAGAGTATTATATGTTTGTCTTCTAACGAAAATGTCAGTAGATAAAATCTATCAGCAACTCCTCAGGACAAAAACTGCTGGTCTCTTCCCAGTAAGATTCATAGTCTCAGAAACTGCAATGATGGTTTGCCTTGACTTGTGACTCAGTGCAACGGGTTTTATATTTTTATATATAAATATGCATGAGACATTTTTAACTAGGTGACAATATTCTTGTTAGGCATATACATTCATCAGTACCTTTTGTTGTACTGTATACTTAGTAAATCTTCAATAAATATTTACTAAATTTTTAAATCATATCTGTAAGTGAACAAAGTGACTTTAGGATCTCTTAACTGGAAACTTTTAATTTTCTACAGAGCCTCCTCCTGTCATCCAAGTGCCCAATAATGTTACAGTGACCCCTGGAGAAAAAGCAATTTTGACCTGTCTCGTCATCAGCGCAGTGGATTACAATCTAACCTGGCGAAGGAATGACAGAGATATCAAATTTGTAGACCCAGCGAGAATTAGGATCCTTGCTAACCTCTCTTTGGAACTCGGGAATGTCAAGTTCAACGATGCTGGAGAATATCATTGTTTGGCTTCTAATGAAGGAGGATCATCAGCTGCTTCAGTGTTCCTCAAAGTACAAGGTACTGCATTTATGTTAACTTCTGAATTGTAGTGTCTTTCTGGCTTCTGCTAAAGATTTCTGCCCATTCAAGTCTGCCACCAAAGAGTGACAGTCTCTCTATCAACAGTGCCATTCCTTTTCTTTTTAATGATTTTTTTATGGTAACATAAATAATTTTTTACAGCATATTCTTTCCATTTCATCCCCCCCATTCATTCATTGTTGCAGTTTTTTCTCCCTG